CGCTTCTGTTCTGGCTTCTCCATCTTCTCTTTCAGATTGGACTTCAGTGCAGCTGGAACTCTCTCTGGTAGATGCTGCAATGGTCTGATGTTGTTGACCATTTTAAGATGATATTCACCAAGAAGACATTCAAGACCTGTAAAAACATCTTTGTAATCTTCTAGGATATTTGGTGGACTGTGAAACACTGCAAATCTCATCCATCGTATTTATGGTTAATAGTCCAAACTTTTGCCTTGTTTCAGTTGTGATGAATTGATTTGTTTAATGTCAACTTTCTGGAACACCAGATCTTTGTTCTCACACTGCACAGGACTCTCAGATTAGAACATCATATAGCTACAATTTTCACTTTCAAGAGCTTAAACTCTGTGAAACTCACAATGTTTCACGAAGAACCAATGTCGATTCAGTACTTCACATTCATTTGATGTTCCTCTTCTACAGTCACCATTCTAAAACTCATAAATCATTTACCACCTTTAGACCTGATGATTCCAACTTGCATCTGATGTAAAGTTATTCATTAGTTATCCATTGGCTAACAGATTTCCTGCACCACCGTTATAAGCTTGGTTGGCTTCTTTGTAGCTAAGCACATGTGATTCAGTTTTTCCACAGTTCCAGCACTTCTTTCCCAAAATTGGATATGCTTTCCTTTCCTTCATGTGGTGTTTCCATAATATTTACATTCTATCCTTAGGCCTTGATCTTTCTGCTATCTTTTCTGAAAATATTCCCTTCTTTCTTTCCAATACTTTGTTCCCATTTGACATTGAATGTCTTTCAGCATAATGCAAAGCCTCGTCCATTAATAAAAGATAAAGTCATAGAAGGCCATAGGGCTCTTCTCACATTAGAGAGAAACAATTGGTGGTGAGTCTAACCTGAGGGTCACCGTGCCTCAGGCAAGGGATGAGGCTTAGCTGGCAAGAACCTCATGGTAACCTCAGCCGGTATGGGAATTTAATCTGTGCTGTTGCAAACCAGCTGTCCAGCCAACTGAGCTAACTGTTACTTATGCCCTAGCGGGTGATTGACAACCTCAACCTTCTGCACATTTTAATGGCTTTCTTCAGCGTACATTTTTCCTCTCGGCAAAAGTATTCTCAAAGCAAGATTTCTTCTGCCTAAATTAATACTGTTACCAGTGAGAAAATCTGTTCATTGTCCAAATCCATTTAGCTAAATTCATAAATGCCATTCTGATCAATACTCTCCCGCTCTCCTGGGGCTTCAATGTTGAAGAAATACTGTTCATAAATCACATTAACATGTGGTTCAAAGTGTATGTTCAAAACCTGAAATCTCTTTCCTGTTGTGTTTGCTGCTTTTCACACAGATCTCGTCTGCAATACAATTGTGGCACCAGCAGTAGACTTGCAACTCTTACAAGCTGTAATTTTTTTTTTAATAAATTCTATTGTTATTTCACAGTTTTGCCAGAGAGTGGGGGAAAAAATTCAATTCTGTGTCATATTGACTTTCATTTTCAGAGGGGTAGGGAGTGGAATATGCACAGTCATTTTGACTCACCCAAAAATTCAAAGTTGCAGAATTTTTTAAACTTCATCCTTGCCTCTTCTTTCAGGAGCTCACTTTCACACAGTCCTGAAAATTTGCATTTTCAATTGAACTTTGCTTGCATTTTCATTTTTATAGAAACCAACTCTCTTACAGCTCTAGTAAGCCAGATAATTTCAGCTCCACCTCTCTCACACCATGTTCTACATGATGTATATTTAATGGCTGTTACTGATTATACACAAAGTTACTAACAGCAGAGGTAGAGATCACATGACTACAGCAAACCAGCCAATGGACTAAAGGGTACAACTGCATTCTTGTAAACATTAGGCACACATTTATGTGTTCACTAAAATGGAGTCTGGTGCGCGTGGCAGCAGGTGTGCGCACAAACGGTCAATACCATATTGTAGCCAAAGTAAAAGTTGCTGAACATCCACATTTTGTGGCCTTGGTCCATTAGGATCAAATTTATCAAAATTTAGAGCTGAACTAAAACACAGTCACATCTTTATACTTAAATGGTAAAAGAATCACCTCAAATACTTGTTTAATTGACATAAATTTATATTTGATGATTTAAAAATTTAAGAAATTCATATTTTAACTGTCACTTTGTCCTTGCTTTGAAACTGTTACAACAGCAAACATTCAATGAAGAATGAAGAATGAAGGATAGAAGACTGCACAAAGCATGAATAAATTTATGAACACTCAGCTCTTCAGACAACCAATACAGGTGAAAATTTTGATTGAGTTATACTTGATACAGCGGTGACTTACCTATCTCAGAGTCAGAAGGTCGGGGTTTTGTTGCAGTATTCCAAGCACATGATCCAGACTGGTCCTTCAGTACTGCACATTTGCAGGTTCTGTTAAACTGAAACTGAGCACCTCTTCAGGACAGATGCAAAGTATTCCACTTTTGTCAGACAAAAGAGGAGCTTCCCTATTGTCCTGCCAACAATTAGCCCTTACCAACATCACTACAATAAATTAATTGGTAATTTAACTGCTTCCCTAGCACTTTGCTGCTGTATTGCAACAGTACTTAGCAGCACCTTGAACATGCAGAAGGTAATGTAGAAGACTTTATGCAAAGGGACTTAGTTCTGTTTGATGCTTCATCCTGGCAACACAAGTAAGATGACTAAATGTGAAAGCTACCTCCTACTCATTTGTGGCATAGAAAACTGGAATAAGTTCTACTGATTCTGATTTAACAAGTCATAAGTTTAAGGAAATTGTACATCAGATTTAACATGTTTACCATTTTGGAGTTTAAATTTCAGTTATTGTCACAATGAGTTACTTGTTAACTTTGTTTATGATGTAATCCTCATAATTTGCCAAGTGGGTGGCTTATGCTGTACTAAACCTATACTGAAATTCAAAGCATAAATACTAACATTGGTCAAAGTGTGATCAAAATTTAGATTGTAATATCATGGCAAGCAATAAAATTACAGACAGCCCAAATATCTATTCCTACAGAAAGTACAAGTGGATAAAATATTGTTAACAAAGCAAATAAGGAAAGAAACTGACAGGTGAGTCAACGCTGAGATACTCAGCTTTAAGTAACCTCAGAATAAAACATCTACCTGCTTGAACAGTTAAAATAATTGGGTATATAGTTATAGCTTCAATATTTAAGCATATTAAGTGCTTTTTATGCATTATCATCAGAAAGGTAGGCATAAATTGCTAATGATTCCTTGCTCATTTGGTGAAAACAATATTTTACTCCATAAAGAATGCAGAATGAAATTACTTGTTTCTATGCTGCTGATTTTGATATAGTTTGGAAAATATACAGGAAAGAAAAAGACACACATACTTTGAATGGGTAGCACATAATATAGAAATACATGTTGATATTAGCGTGCATTGACTGTTATGACCTAATTTATATGGTTACAAAAATAATTTATCATACTGCAACTGAGTTAACGAATGCAGTATTTTGCTTTCTTAAGATGATAGTAATTTGGCAAAGTGAGCTGTATTCAATAAAAGTATTCATGACTTTTACTTTTGTCATAGCAATTCTTTCAGGTCTTCAGTCATGTACCACCATTAAAATGTTACCGTTGCAAGGGTGTTGAGTTGTTTTCTGTATTCCACAGTATGCCAAGTAATTCTGACACGACTTTGGGAGGTATTAACATACCTCAATACCTAATAGTTGTACATATTTTGTTGGGAAACCATATAATATCTTGTTTTTTAAACAAAAAGATGGGTGGATGTCACTTATTCTAGTTCAAATAAGACCTTGAAATAAGCTGGAGTTTGTACGCCATTTGCATTAATTTTTTTTGTCAGTATAGAATGAGTTACATTTATTGAAAAAGTTCAGGTTGCTAATTTTAGAGGTGGATAGCAAAATAAGTCAACATACTGTGTTCCCTCAGTCTCTATTTGAAATGAATTACTTTATGAACAGCAATAACTTAGTAGTCTTATAGTTTCCTATGAAGAAATCTGTGTCACTTTCAGGCTAAGTACACCTTAGGAAATTATATGCTTGTTGAAAACATGGTATCATTTTGGAGCTATATCTAAATTGGAGAAATTTCATATTTATGTAAAACAAATGGCTCAGTAGTATGATGAAAAATCAACTCCAGGAGTGGCTGCACAGCATGTTTTCCACTCTCAGGCTTACTATCAGTGGTGCCAAGTATAGGCTGGAGGCTTCTCTGCCGGAAAGGAGGATGAGACACTGTGGGTCACTCAAACACCCACGGACAGCTGGTTTCTGTACAGTGCTAGCACAGATTTAGCAGCAAGTCTCCAGCCCACACACACAGTATGAAATGAAAACGAGAGAAAAAAAAAGATGGAGGGAGAAAATGAAATAAGTTATAAATCATCATAATTATCTGATGGAAAGTACAAGATAATTTATTTTGCTATCACCATAGGAAATCAAAGATTATTTTATATTTAAAATAAAGTAAATTAATAGATTATAAACAGTGTAAAGGAATGATGGTCATTGTTGTCAGTTCTTAGAACATCCTTAGCTCTGAAAACAGCCTTTTTTGAAACTCTACGTAAAATCACCGACACTGGTCACCAGCAAAACTTTGTGTTTGATAAATTGCTGTTTGTGTTGCATTGTAAGCTTCTGTAACACTAATTTCTCAATACTATTTTTATTAATGATCCAAATAACTAATAGCATCACGTATCACTGTATAACTGTGGTTTAAGATCTTTGCTCTAACTTTTCCTACAGAATACTGTGTACAAACCTGACAAAGTATTTTGAAACACATGGTAAAAAAATTTTTCCATGTTCCAAATAAAGTAATCCTTTGACATTAAAAAGGAAGTTGAATATCATTTTGATTTTATGACCAAAACCTGATTAATCCTAGCAGGTGCAAAGTCTCCAGCTCACACAGCAGCAATGATTTATGAGCATCAGACTTTCAGGGGAAACAATGATAATCATAGACATGTTACATGTAACACTTGTACATTTTATTTTAATTAAATCAGCCATTTTACACATTGCAGTTGCTATGTATTGGTTAGTGTTTTAAGTTTGCTTCCATTTATTTTTATTCTAATACATGCCCTCATAGATATCATATACAATATTTTTATCACCATGGGAACAAGATGCTGATTCGTCAAATTAAAATTCACTCCTTCTCACAGTTCTGAAGTTCTTTGATTACACAGCAAAAAAAAAGTATAAATCAAAACGTAATTACAGAGACATCATCTGTGCTGCATGTAACACCACATGGCATGGCTAAAACAGTTATACACTCTCTCTGATGGTTCTTGTATTCAGTCTGTGCAGGCCTTGACACTGACAAAACAAAATTGACATTTTGCCTGCACTGATTGAGTGAGTCAATTAAATTTCCTTTATTTAACTTTCTGAGCACTGAGCAAATATTATCCTCATATTAACAAATTTTCTGTACCATAATAACTTAAAAAAAAATCTACAATAAAATCTTATGAACACACTGAAGGGCAGAACTGAACAAGTAAAAATACTATATATTTACCATAATTGATTCTTTTTATTGTTTCTATTTTTTGTTGCTGTTGAGGCAGCGAGCAAAAACATTTTCCCAGTGCAAAGATGGTTAAACAACTGTATAGATGATTACAACAGCTATAAATACTACATGCATTTACAAAAAGAAGCCAGTCTTGTTACATAATGCTGAAATAACCAAAAGATTCTGTCTTTTTTTTCTGTTGTAAAGTTCAACCCAATTCCAGTTATCTACAGTGCAGGTGCCAGTAGAAAGTACCAGATCACAGATACAAGACTACGTGTTTGGTGGAAGCAGTGAAGAAAGTTGCAAATTTCTGGAAACAAGTATGGCAGCATGAAATACACGACCAAATGTAGCCTGCCACACATCCACCGTTTAAATTCATACTAATGCAATTAATGGAGATATGTCTGATACATTAAGTACAGGTGCTAGCATTTTAATTAAGCTTTGAGAAAGTCTGAGGGACTGCAAGATTCTTAAGTGCTCCCTACTAGGCCTGCACACTCACAATCTGTCACTATGGCGACATTTAGTCAGACTCAATTCGGCAAAGAAGAAAGGATCTTGTGTTTGGTGGTGATTGGAGTAGTCAAGGTAGGCCGTACCTTAGTTTCACAAGCCAAAACACTTTTGCTATTTACACATTTGTGTTGTAAAGTCCTTCGGCGACAGAAAATGAGAAGAGGCCTGTGGATGAAGTATTTTCTGAATTTCAGAACAGTTGTTGCAGTTTGGAGGCAGCAATGTTTGCATGTTCCTAACACAGCCACATGAGGAAGCTCTAAGGTTCAAACAGTATAAGTCACCCAAGATACGGATGCCATCTTTGGTCACAAATTTACTTATGGTAAAGAGAAAAGTCTAATTCAAATCTACCTTTCTGCACAGGAACTCCAGCATCTTCAGATGGGAATATAATATAGAATTTCTCCAAGTGAGCAAGCCGTGCAGTAGTGACAGAATAGATATGAGAGATTTGAGCTGTTTATTTTTCATCCTGTTTCCAGTCCTCATTGCAAAAGCGACCAAGAAGTTGTTGCAGGTCGAGTTTCAGGTCATCTTTTTGTAGCGCTTCAGGCACATCCTCCAGCCTTTCCTCGTGTACATGCTTCCCCTCCTGATCCTTCACCACAGTCCTCTTCTGTGTGCTAGCTTTACTCATGGTCGCCCTGGAAAAAGGCACAGAGTGAGAAACACAAGACAGCGAATGGCAACAGTGAAAGGGAAAGGGAGGCACTGGGACAACAAAATGCAGTGGAAACTTTTAAAATATGATTATGTTTTATGAACTGGCACTTTGCTAATTATTTAAAAAGCAGAGAATTCCATGAATAGTTTAGTGCTTAAACAAGTTTTCACATGTTTTTTGCTTAAAAAAAAGGAAAAACATGCACAGAAATTGGAAGAAGTATTCTGATTTACATGACAACTCTAGACTGGGCTCCTACTTGTAAATAATCTTTCATCAATCCCTCGAGAGTGTGAATAGATAGCTGCAGCCCTCATCCCTTTCCCTCTCTCCAAAAACAATAGTTTTGCCTTTGGCCTCAATTTCCATCCTACTAGTTTTTGCATTGAAAAGATGATTCTCTGCGTTTCTACCACATTCAGGATGCAGAAACCAAATACATCTTTTATTCCAATCCCTCATCAGCATTCCACAAGGGCTGGTCCTTTCACAACACCCTGGTCCACTTCACTGCCATTCCTACCACCTCTTCACCACTCCCTTCTTCATGACACCTTCCCATGCAATCACACAAGGTGTAGCACTCGTTCCTCCTCAATATCTATGCCTTAAAAATACCTTAAAGCAGTGATTTACTTGTAATTCTTTTAATCGAGTCTACTCACTACTCACAATGCAGTTTCCTCTACATTGGTGAAACAAAACACAGACTGGGTGACTGCTTTGTGGAACACCTCCCTTCTGTCTGTAAGAATGGCCCTGACCTCCAGGTTGCTTGCCATTTTAAGACACTATCTTGCTCTCATTGTTACCTTTCTGTCCTAGGCCTGCTGCAGGCCTGTCCTAGGCCTCCTGCAACAAAGCCCAAAACAGGCTGTAGGAACAACACTTAATTTCTCTTTTTGCTTAGATACTTCATAACCTTTAGGACTCACCATTGAGTTCAACAGCTTCAAATAACACTGTCCTCCATCTTAATTCTACTCACTTCCTCACCATCCCAGTATCTTGTTTGCATGGGTTTGCTCTCAACAGAGCTGACCTATTCTCTGTTATTAACACTGACTATTAACACCTACTCTGCATTTATATCATTCTGCTACTACCATCAGCATTTCTTTTGGCTTTTTCTCTGGGCACCCTCCGAATCTGTCCTACTTGTTCTTCCATCTGTTTTAATAAAAAATGATTATTTTCTAGACCCCTTCAATTCTGAAAAAGTCAGACTGGACCTGAAAAGTTCACTCTGGTGATCTCTCTACAGATGTTACCAGACCTGCCGAGTTTCTCTAGAAACTTCCTCTTGTTATGATCTATGAAAAAAGAACTTTATATAACATACAAGATATAACTATAGCTTGCATATATTTTTCTGCTCCAATCTGAAGCCACTTGTCTGTGTTTTACTCAATTGTTAGGCATAGCAGATTTTAGTGTGCAATGCTGCCTGTACTGCACTGTGTACAGTGCATAAATTCTGGAAATAAGGAATTCTCATGGATAGTAGACAGATAACAAATGGGGAAACAACTCATTCTTATCAGCATGTTCAGGGATTTGCTCAATTCTTTTTTAAAGGGGAACAAATTTTGCAATTAAGATTAATGAAGTCAGTGATAAGGAACAAAAGGGAAAAGCTGAAAACAAAAAAAAACAATCGAAATCACAGTGGGTCAGACAGCATCTGTGGTGAGACAGCAAGCTAACGTTTTTGAGTCTAGATAATTCTTCATCAGATAATGCTCTGATGAAGAGTAATCTGGACTCAACACGTTAGCTTGCTGTCTCTCCCTGGATGCTGCCTCATCCCTTGTGATTGCCAGCATTTTTTGTTTTCAGTACAGATTCCAGCATCTGCAGTAATTTTTTCAGAAAATGGGAGAAACTGTGGATATGTGCTGAATTCATTCTTCTGCTGTAAAATAGGCATGAAGCATTTCAACTTAGCAATGCCAAAGCATACAAGGCTACGAACCAAGTGCTGGCAAATGGGATTAGAATAGTTAGGTGTTTTCTTTGACTGGTACAGACTTCATGGACTGAATGGCCGTTTACAGTGCTGTAGACCTCTAAGACTCAGTGCAATAGCTCATGTCCAAGCTGAAATAGCATTGCTTGTATTGTAAATTGTCTTAGCTATTTCTTTCAAATATTCCAACCAGATATCTAAGGCAATGGCTCCTTCAATGTGTTGGTTAAGGACCTAACAATTAATGAAGGAGACTAATAAAATTTGGAGATCAGTGTGGTATGTGTTCTGCTATACCCACTCATACAATGATTCAAAATCTACCGCAAACTATTTCCTAAAACATGGATATGATAACTGTTTTCCAAACAGCCACTTGCTAATTATTTGAGAAGAAGAAATGTCCATGAACAGTCCAATAAAGAACTGTCAGGTTTATTTAAAACCAGTGATGGAATGATTCACTTACTAGAATCTTAAAGCCAGCAAAAAAGGTGAGTTTATTCTGATCTGTAATGTGTATAATATTTGAATTAACAGTATATGGAAATAAAATCTAAGTTCTATTCATACATGATTGGACACAAAAAAATGCAGCTTCTGCATTACATCAATGCTTTACCTTAACACGAAGATTCTCATTATAGCTCATTGAGTACAAAACTCTATGCAGTGTCACCTGTGATTCACTGTCGATAGTTTTACATGATGGAGTTCGTTGGAGCTAGGCAATAACCTTACGACCAATGGTGAATTAACTTCATTCAGACCAATGGTACTTATAATTATTTTTAGATTTCATTGTGTGAAAATGAGGACTATGGTATATTGATTTAACCAGAACATGTATCAGCACACTAAAAAAAGTCTTCAATATCTAGTACCAGCAATTCACTAGATTTAGTACAGCTACAAAATAATTTACCCTTCTCAACAAAAAGCAGAAACAAAGACAGAATAGTTTAACTGACCATCTCAAAAAAATAAGTGACAGGATTAGTTCATATCAAATCTTACTCCAAAACAGACCCTTTTTAAAAAGAATATTTCAGGTGTTAGATACACAATACATTAATAGCACAGGGAAAATGTATTTCAAAGAGTTGCAGCAAAACAGATCAACTGATTACACAGTTCCTTCAGGTTTGGGAGTACCATGGAAGAGAAATGTTGACCAGCACAGTGATTCAGTTAGTAAATACGTTGCCAAATATGGAGCTGATCCATACTAACAGATTAATCAACTGAACAGAACAATGACAGTTATGAGTCACTATATTTTTTGATGGCTAATGGGAATATATGGGGGAGCAGCATGCATGGAGATGATTTAAGGGAATCCGTCTCCTTGCCACAGAGATCATCAAAAACTAAGTGGAAAAAGTGATTGAAAAACTGATAAAAACTTGGCTTCATCATAACAAAGACCCAGTTCTGAATTTTCTCAAAGCTAGACTAGCTGGGACACCTTTTTCAAAATGGCAGAGGACACTTAATTCCAGTCTCTGTCTCTATTTCTGGCAATTTCCACCAGCATGGCATAAGGGTGGGACAGTCAGTCCGAATGCAGCATTCTGCCCCTGCTTAATTCACTTGTGAGGATGGACTGTTTAACACCACATCCAGTCCCTCATAGCTGCAGTCATCCCCAGCCCATGATTCTAGCCAACCCAGGCTCATTCTGTAAGTGGACATAATTCATGGCTTTTCAGAGGAACAAATGCTTGGCTGAGTTTCAAAAGCTTCACAACTACTTGTGTCTGCAATAAAATATGTTCACAATTTGATTAACAGTTGTTTTGAGTTTATTGGAGGTTTGAGGTTTGTTCTTACAACAGATTGACTACAAGTGGATTAAATTTTTAAAATGGGTTTTACGACTACAAGCTTTTTGCTTCAGTACGTAATGTATTTGAATGAGACCTATGTTAGATTATTAGAAGTTTAATTTCATTTTAATCTGTTTCAGAAACATAGCTTCTAAGGCTGACCCATAGCCCACAGTGACAGTACTTGGTGCCTGTTTTTGGTGGATACATGAGAGACACAAAGGAAAAATGGGAGTATGTGGGTATGGAGACAATAAGGAGGCATGGAAGTAAATAGGGATTTTGAGGGGAAGATGAGACAGACGGGTTAAGAGGCAGGGTGAGGTTGAGGGTTTGGCATGCAGATATTTATAATTTAAACTGTTGCAGTAAACGGAGGCAAGTGTTTCTGCCTACTGGTCTGGCACACTGCCTACCTCCATTGTTGTATGAGCCTACACCCTTGGTGGGCCCGATTCCATCCCAAAGTGGAACAAAAATATGGCAGGCAGGGGCCTTTTTGAAAGATCAACGCAACTTTGCCATCTGCTCCATGAAAGTCTGGCCCACAATAAGGAAGCAATTCTGCACGAAGCCTTGGTCATACAAACAAGAACAACTTCCCTTTATGAAGCATCTTTAACATAATAAAACTTTCCAAGGCACTTAATAAAAACCAAAAGAACTGTGGATGATGTAAATCAGGAACAAAAACAAAGTTGCTGGAAAAGCTCAGCAGGTCCGGCAGCATCTGTGAAGGACAAAACAAGGTTAATGTT